ACAGACACAGGCGGTCACCGCCGTGGAGGCGGAAAGGCTTCGTTCTGACGGGAGGGTCGCGGGGTTGAGCTGCCGTCTGCCTCCGTTTGGGCTTGCGGTGACAGCACGTACTGTCATGTGTGAACACGGACACTTCATGGATGCTAAAAGAGAGGAGCGCGAGCCCATCTTCCTGACCTCCCCTCCAGGGGCTCACTCCATGACTTCTTGACACTGGGTTCCGTTTCCTGAGCTTCCTGAGCTTCTACACCATCTCCCAGCAGTGTCACTGTCAACGCCTTCAACACACGGGCTCAAGGGACATTGAAGTTCCAGAAACTTCTGTCGAGTGTTTTGTCCTAAAAACATCACTAGCAACATTTCAGATTCATTCCAGAGGATGAAGGCCTGTTGCAGAAAGCCCGGGGGCTGGATAGGATCGGGATATGTTATCTCAAAATATACTACTTTTGGTATATTATTTTAAGCTGAAGGCAATGTAGGAACCACACACAGGAAAAAAGAAAAAACCTCAATCTTTTATCCTTTCCTACATGAAATCAAGGTACAGATTTCTTTTCCTTTTCCTGTGTGTATGTGTGCACACCATTCCCCCAGCTTTGAACTCAGGGCTTGGGTGTTACCCCGGGACTTTTTTGCTCAAGGCCAGCATTCTACCACTTGGAGACACAGCTCCACTTCCAGTTTTTAGGAGATTAATTAGAGACAGGATTCTCACAGACTTTCCTACCCAGGCTGACTTCAAACCACAATCCTCAGGATTCAGCCTCCTGAGAAGCTAGGATACAGGTGTCAGAGTCTGACACCGGGCTCAGATATCTCTTTTGTAAAGGACATTTCCAGGTATGAAGATGTCTCCTGTCTTGCACCAGATATCTGTATCTGGGGCTGGGAAGGTGGCTCAGTGGTAGAGTGCTTGCCTTGCATGCATGAGGCCCTGGGTTCGATTCCTCAGCACCACATAAGCAGAAAAGGTTGGAAGTGGCGCTGTGGCTCAAATGGTAGAGTACTAGCCTTGAGCTGAAGAGCTGAGGGCCAGCTCCCAGACCCAGAGTTCAGGCCCCATGACCAGCAAAAAAAAAAAAAGAGTCTCCCAGATATCTGTATCTGTAATGCTGGATATTGCATCAAGCTGTCTACATAACAACTACCAACCCACCCACCTGCATGCGTGTCCTAGGCTCCTTCCCAGTCCCCTCCCCCCATGCATGTCCTACGCTCCTTTCCCACAATGCACCCCCAGAAGTCCAGTCCCCTGCTTCCTTTCTCTAATTGCATCACAAATGTTCACCGCTTGTTAAAATGGCATACAAACTTCCATGTCTAACAACATGTAAAGTGAACAATGTTCTGTGAAATATGGGTGCTAGATCTCTTCTTTATCCTTTGTCAGTTTAATTCACAAGCCTCTGCCACCCCTCCTGCTTAGAAGGACCACATGCACACATGTGAATATTGGAAATAATAGTTACAGCAAGTCTCTGGTATGTGAGAATCTTCATTACTGCCGCAAAACTCACAGATGAGAGCAGTATCCGCAATACTTTCTTTTAATGTCACCTAGTGAGAAGCCTGGGAACCCAGACCTATAAGAAATAGTGGCAACCATGAAGACATTACAAGTCCATTTTCATCAGCTTCCTGCCTGGGCCAGCGAGTGTCTCCTTCACTGGGAGCTGGGTGCCCGCTATGAGGTTGTGACAAAAATAACAGTAGCCCATGCACCATGCAGGCTTCTTCCAACACCAAGATCCCCCAGCTGTGGAAATGATCCCCAAAATGATGGTAAATGTAGCTGTTGGTGTTAATGTTTTATTCTGCAAATCCTGACTTTCATGTTTACAGTTCAAGTCTGTTGTGTTGGATCAGCAATGTCATTAAAATGATCAGGGAGCAAACGCGGCTGACGCGGACCTGGGTCATTGACGTCCCCATGCTGATGTCACGTGTGCGCTTGACGTCCCCGTGCTGATGTCACGTGTGCGCTTGACGTTCCCGTGCTGATGTCACGTGTGTGCTTGACGTCCCCGTGCTGATGTCACGTGTGCGCTTGACGTTCCCGTGCTGATGTCACGTGTGCGCTTGGGGTTTTTTATTAGATTTTTGAAAATTCTGTGCTCTATTCCATATTAAAGTGAGCCTCAGCCCAGAACCCCCTTAATTAGAGCTGCCTGGGCCCACGGGGGCTGGGAGTTACGCAGGCATCGGCCGCTCCCCAGCCCTTTCAGCCTGTCTGCTACACACGAGGTTGGAGGGCGGCCGAGCGCTAGTGAAGCGGCTGAAAGCCTACTGCAGCCCAGTGAGCTGTCCACCATGCGGCCAGGCCGCTCCACCCAGAGGCCGCTGTCTGCGGCCCGCGCCAGGCTGTCTGTCTGTCTGTCTGTCTGCACGGACGGACCCTGCGCCACGGCCCGGGCCGGGCTGCCTTCACCCGCAGCCGGGTGGCCCCGCCCGGCCC